ATTATGCTTTGGCATTAATACTCTTCTATCAACCACAGATATGTTCCACATAAGCAATTCACAGATATTTTACTTAGTGATCCAATTTTTCAACCAAATTGTTCTTTCATTCCAATTACATCTCAGCTCATGCTCTGCATATTTGATTGTACCCTCCCCACCTGTGTCAATTCACATCTTCTTTAGTCTTAGAATCCAGTGTCTCCAAATGATTTGTCAAATTAACCCAACCAAATTTACTGTTCTATAAATATCTATACTAAAATTCCAGCTCCAACACATAGCAAATTGGTGATGACTGAGGATTTAAATCTAGTAATGATCACAATAATGTAATATGTGCCACACATGACACCTATTATTTCAAAAGAATTGTCATTTCTATTGGTGTATGAGCCGCTGTAGTAACTAAATAGCTGTTCCTGCTATCAAGCAAACTAGAATCAACCAAGGCTCAAGCAACACATACAGATGACATTACTGTTTACCCAGAGATACTGTGCAACATTTTTAGCTACTGCAGCAACATATGAAACAAAGAGCAAAATGGATCACTGCCTGATCAACTGCAAGTTCTTGTCAGTGATGTTAGCTGGATAATATGCAACCGACCATGTATTAGCCTCCAGTGGCTTTCATAAGCTTCTGTATGCTTTACATAAGAAATATAAAAGCATCCTAGTAACCCCAGAGGGAATCCTATACACACTACCCACAGTGAACAGGAAAATCTCCAAACCACACATCAAACCTCATAACCAAACACAATAACCAATACTGTGAACTAACATCTAATGTGGGAGTCATCAGCCAAGAAGGATCCTTAGATAAACCTAAAATACAAAATACAAACACCAAGAAAACAAATAATCCCATTAAAACATGGGCAGAGGACCTGAACATTTTTCCAAAGAAGACACACAGATGGCCAATGGGCACATGAAAAGATGCTCCTCATTACTAATCAACAGGGAAATGCTAACCAAAAACACAATGAGGTATCACCTCTCACCAGTTAGAATGGCCACTACCCAAAAGACAAGAAATAACAAGTGTTGGCAAGGATGTGGAGAAAAGGGAACCCTCCTACACTGTTGGTGGGAATGTAAATTGGTGCAGCTGCTGTGGAGATTCCTCAACACTAAAAACAGAAATACCACGCGACCCAGCAATTCCACTACTGGGAATTTACCCAAAGAAACAAATTCACTAGTTCAAAAAGGCATATGCACACCTACATTTATTGCCGCACTATTTACAATAGCCAAGATATGAAAGCAACCCAAGTGCCCATCAATAAGTGAACAGATGAAGAAGATGTGGTCCATATACACAATGGAATATCAGCCATTTGTGATAACATGATGGTCCTAGAGGCTATCATGCTAAACAAAATAAGTCAGCCAGAGAAATACAAATATTGTATGATTTCACTTATATATGGAATATAAAAAATAAAAACAAACAATAACAAAAAGAAATAGACCCATAAATACTGACAGACTGGTGGTTACCATGAGGGTGTGGGGGGGTTGGATGAAATAGGTGAAGGGAATAAAGAGATACAAACTTTAAATTATAAAATAAATTAGTGAGAGGAACAGAAATACAACATGGAGAATATAACCAAAAATACTATATTATCTTGGAATAGTAACAGGGGTTAACTACACCTACTGTGGCAAACATTTAGTAATGGATATAGTTATCAAATCACTATGTTGTACAACTGAAACCAATATAATACTGTATATCAACTATATTCCAATAAGTAAATAAAATACAAAATACAGTGATCAATGGAGAAGACTGTTTTGTCCTGAATTACCGAAATCACACGAACACCACTGAAGAGCACACAAAACCTATCCACACTTCCAGAGTAATCCTGAGGAGCAATGCAGAGATGTACCCACTCTTACTGCAACGTCTTTCTGCCTTCACAGTTGGCAAGAAATTGGCCAGAATCCATCCTTACCACTGAACAGCAGAATTGAGAAAGCAGGGCTAGAGCCCTGAGGTGATGTCAGTCAAGGAACTAGGGAGCTTGCAAGAACCTTAACAAATGACGGATGAATAGAGCAAACAGCTGCTTGAGCAGCACATCACTAAAGCCGAGTGCTCGCTGACCAGCTGCCAAAGGGCACGGGCAGCCCTGCAGTAGGATGGACCCACCAAAAAGCCCACGAGTGTCCGAAAGCACTGTGGTATTTCCAAAGCTGCGAAACATGGGACCCCAGTGAAATTCAAGACAATGTAAGTGGTCTAAGCCATGGGTTCAGGTGATACAAAAGAAAGTGCTAAACAAATAACATTGGCTCACAGATGAGAGTCAATTCCCTTTTTAATCCTGATGGTAAAAAGAAGAAAGTCTCAGTTTGGTGCTGGGAAGTGTTTAACATGAATCTCACAGTTGCAAACTTTTTAACAGTAAGAGAACAGACCCCCAGGCTCAGACAGCCAGGCAACAGCATCTCAGCTAGACTCTAATAACATTTGCTTTCACTGTGATTATCTTCAGTTACCTTCTAGTTATGACAAGTGACATATTTCTGGCAATAATACAAAGATTACTTTTCAA